ATTCCATCGCAAATTTGTTTTATTGTCACTATGAGCTCGAAGCATTTCAATTTTATAACTTAAAGTTAAAATTCAACATTAAAAGCATAGTTAAGAAGTTAACAGCATAACTTTTTTATATACTGTATTTTTTGAGATAAATGAGTTTACTGCAAAATTTGATTTTCTCGATCAAGCATAGCGAAAATGTTTTCAGATGTCACCATTTATTGATGAAAAAATTCTTGACGTTTTTTCAAGACAGATGTAAAAATCACCTGCAACAAGCAAATAAAATTTATAAACAACGGAATGGAAAAATATTCAAAGTCCACCATTGAATTATTTTTTAAAATTTCAGTTTAAGTGCTTAAATTGCACTAAATAATTTTGGAAAATTACAAACAGATTGCAATTCAAAAAATTTATAGTTCAAAGAACAATGTTGCTAGAAGTAACAAAATGAATAAAATTTGCAATTTTCTGTACTTTTTAGCAAAAAAATGATTGTGAAAATTTGTAGATAAAAAAAGTTAAATTTTAGCCCGAAAATATTCTTAGTTTCATAAATCACTATTTTTGAAAAATCACTTAATTTTTCAAATATTTTATTGCTTCCTTTAAATTTCCTCATTTTGCAATGTCTGAAATGTATAATTAATTTTCATCGAAACAAAAAATTATGAAGGATAAAGAACACATTTTAATTCAATACTTAAAAAGACAAAAATTTGTTCTTAATGAACATTAGGACAAGTTAAAGTAATAAATTAAACTTGTTGATCACGCTAAGCTTTCCAATGAATAAATTTATATAAACACCAACACCTATATATAAAATTTCTATTAAAGTAATAAATAATAAGCATGTTTTTTCGTATCATTAAAATTGAAAAATAACTAACTTGACTTAAGCTTGAATTGAAGGTAATTAACTTTGCAGTAAACCTTTAAATGTGTTTATGGCTGAGAGGTTTTGAAAAAAACAATTAACCTAATTCAAACTTATGCCATACCAATTAAATAAATACATATAAACCAATGAAAGTGACAGTTATTCAGTTTTGTACATTAATTTTTTTCTTTAGCATTTTGACAATATTGTTGCGCTTGAGTGAATTTATTAAATGTTGAAAAATAAATCTGTAAAAAATCATTGAAAAATGCCTCAATAAATATTTAATTGAAAATAATATTGAAAAGTTTGAAGTTAAATTTTAATCAGAGAAATTATTGGTCTAATTAAAATCATTCATAAGGATGAATCAATAAAACGAAGATTTTGCATTCAGAAACAACCATGAATAGTTTGGAATATGGTTTTAAAATGAAGTAGCATAAATATAAAAAAATTATCAATTAAAACAAAGTAAAAGTTTGAAATATTAATGGGACAAATGGAAAATAGTTAAAAAATGTTTATAATGAACTTTTGAAATTATAATTGCTGCATTTGATCTACCTATACATACATATTTCTAAACATGCTTCAGAATTTCATAATAAAAATTCATTAGTACTGATTGAGGTTTGCGCATGTATTTTACTGCTTGATGATAATTAATTGCACGTAATTGTTCTTATTACTTGACGTGGATTGAGAGAAATAAATATAAGCATAAGTTCAAAACCCAAGTTAGCGGCAGTATTACAATAAATGATATAAAAATACTTCATCATCAAAATTAGATCTCTTCTCATGATGAAGCAATTCAAAATGGACTAAAATTGCATTTCAGTCTATTTTTTTTCTTAAATTATTTGTTATGCATAAGTCATTTGACACTGATTTTATTACAAGTCGTGTTTGACTTGCCAGCTGCAAGATTATTTTTGCCCACTTCTTAAACTTCATTAAGAGATGAAATGAGAAAATACAAAGAAGAAAAATCCGTTACGAATTAAATAATGCAAATGCCAATCTTTCGCGCTCCTTGCGAAAGCATAATTTCATTTTCGAACATTTTTATTTATTTTTAGCGCACTTTTTTTGTTAGAAAATTTTCCTCAGGCGTGATGACATTGTGAACATTTGAGAAATATCATTTAATTTTTTTGAAAATAATTAATTTTCAGAATAGCTCAAGAAATTATAAAAAATTTTTGATAAATAAGTTTTTTTTCGGAAAAGGCAAAAGCGAATGAATTGGTTTTACAATTCAATTTGCTCTCAATTTAATACCTTTGATTTATATCATTAATTAAATTGATAATATGTAATTCCAATTATTGATTAGGTGACAAAAATAATGATATTTCCAGAGGCATTTTATCAATACTGTTCTCGAAAGAACGATTATAAAAAAATTTTTGTTGGCAAAAGCAAAAACGCTTTTTGGCTTTCTGATATTAGAAAAATCAAAGAAAATATTAATTGAAAGTACTACAGAACAGAGCTGAAAACAAAAAGCTTGATACATCAGTGATTATCCCTCATAATAATAACTATGATAATAATTATTTTTATTGCTGTTACTAATATAGTGGTATCAAAAATAATGTTATGAACATAACTTTATTTACATACTCAATTTTTTCATAATTAAAAAAAATGCAAAAATTGGCAAACTTTTTATGGGAATAGAAGTTAGTAATTTGCTGTTGCTTACAATTGAAAATTCAAATGCTGCTTGATTTTTTTATTTTCATTAAATTTATGTTGCTTAGTAATATTGTCATGCATTTTTATCATTGCAATTAGTGACATATGTTTTCAAGAATTGCTGATAAAGCTGTTGATTGATTCTGAGAGCTAGTAATAGCTTATATTAGAATTATAATTTGCAATATTAATATACCTTAGCAAGGTCTGCAGTCGTTTACTTCATCTCACAAGTTTTTAGGGATAATTTTTTCAGCGAAATCAAAGTACTGGAATACTTTTAACTTTGAAAGAATAAATACAGTGATACTTTTACGCATATAAACTAATGAATCTGATGCCCTAATTTTAGGTACGATCTAAAAATTATAATCCAACCAAATTTCGCAATAAATTAATCAGTAATGCAAAATGAAAATTACTTTTGTTTCAGAAAAATGCTTATTGCAATCATAATTAATTAGAAATTCTTAATTAACAAAGTTTTCATTGGAAAGTGTAGCATGACAAGCTGAAACTTTAGACATATAAATGATGATTGAAGATACAAATAGATTACATATAGATGTAATATGCTACGCATCACATATTAACACATGATAATAATAAAAATGAAGCATGTCAGTTTCAAAATTTTTTGCTTTCAAAAAGTTTTCTTTTTCACTTTTAAACATTATTTAAAATTGAGGGCAATACTATGAAAAATGAATAAGACAACTTTTTAAAAGTTTGTCATGATTACAAATTCAAATGAAATTAAATTCATGCAATTGAAATTTATTAAGAAATTTTCTGGGTGCAGAAAAGTTTTGACTAATTTGAAAGTTATTTTTTGCTTTAAAACTAAATAATTAATACTTACAGTTCAAGATATTCATGTCAGAAAAGCAGCTCAAAAATTAGATCAAATAATGTGAAAGTGCGTTACTGTAAAGTGAACAACAATATGAATGTAGTTCTGCATATGGTAGCGTACTTTTTAATCAAATTTTTTTTGTAAGTAAGAATTTTGCCTGTTAAAAATTAAAAAACAATATTTAAATTACAAAACAAAACACAATAATTTTGATTCCACACTCTAGAAAATCACAAAATGGCAGACGTCATTCAAATATTTTTTGAGTTCAAATTAATTGCTTTTAAAATTTGTAATCAGTATTTCATTCACCCAATGATTCATTATTTTGAATTAATAAAAGGTAGTTTGGAACAAATCGTGATTTTCAACTTTTTACTTTGTTTAATTTCACAAAAAAGAAAGTTAAGAAATAAAATTTTCGCTTACAAAAAACAAAGATTTTTTTGTCTACGTATCTTTGAAAAAGTGTAGATATATAGATCAAACTGCTTGAGGGAAAAAATTAAAACTTTTTTGGCAGTTTTCTTGATTAAAAGTAAGATATGATGCAGTAATAAGTGTTTAATGAGCAGCAATTTGAATAGATTTGAACTTTATTTGTATTTCTTGATGATATGCCACTGAAGCATTGAACTTTGTAATGATACTTTAAATTTTTGCTAACTTTCGATTAAGGAACTTTTATTTATCGACAAACGAATAATTTCTTCAAAAAAATCATCTGCAGTAAATTATTTATTCAAAATTTTTTCTTTCAGTAATTGTACAAACAGATTTAATGTTAGATTTGAACTTTCTTAAGATTTTTTTCGTTTTTTTCCCCGTTTTTAAGCCAATCAAAAATTATTGTAACAAAGATTTATCGCAACAAAAGTAAAACAAATACTTTAGAAGAACTAAGTTTTCCGGTGCCAAAAGGATTGAACGTTCAAATTTTCAAAACAATTTCTCATACAAGCTGTTTAACAGTGCATTATAACTTGTAAAAATTAACTTATCAACCCCATAAGGGTTAGAAATTAATTCAACCTCATAAATTTAAGATTGTCATGGAATCAGTAGTTTTTTGCATATTCAAATATTAAGATCACAGTATTTACATTGCTTTACTGTTTTACGAGTTGAAAAACTTGAGAATGTTTTTTAGCTTTTGTGAGCAAATAATACTGATTTCATTAATTAAATATATACCATGTGTCGTGATCAAGATCACGAATTTTTTTGTTTTTTGCTTTTGAGTCATTATTTTTTTATTTTATGTCTCGCAGTGCAAAAGCATTATTTAAATTTTTCTGAAATCTTGCAAATAATTTGTTTTACAAACGAATGCACTATAAAATCTAAAAATTCTAAAAATTTCCGAGTTTTGTATAGAATCAAAGTCTTACTTTTGATTATGGAACAGATATGTAACTTGATAATTACGAAAATTTATTGATAATCAATCAGTACATGCAAATTAAAACTTCATACTCTCAAACAAATCAGTACACGTTTATTTATTATCAGTTCCAGATCGGAAATGGAAATTTCAGTACGCGAATTCAAGAGCTACATGAATCATGTCGTTTCTTGTTTGAATTTGGCTTCACACTGAATAGGAGGCAAGAAAGCACGATAAATTAAAACTATGATTATAAATAATAGCAATACTACCCAATACCGCATTTCTTTAAAAATATCTACGTTATGAAGAGCAGGGTCCACTGATCCATCATAGATGCCATTATAATTAACCGCTTGTTTTGGACCGTACAATTCCTCTGCTATATCTGATTCCTACATATTTTAGCAGTCATTGACATTTATTTAATTGAATGATTTAATTATTAATTAACAATAGAAATTGAAAAATTTTGTAACGAAAGAAATGTGCTAATATTAGAAAGAATATAGTAATTTGTTTTCAGATAATGAGTACGAAAATCAAAATTTATACCGTTTACCTTTTTAACTAATAAATTTCAACTTTGTATGGTTTGTTCTTTGAAAAAATACGAAAACTAATATGAGTTAAAATTGTGACTGCAAAAAAAAAATAGCTATTGATGCTTTAATCTTTTAAATTAAGTAATGCTTTAAAGTGAGATAAAATAGTAGATATAAGTGTTATTGAAATTAAAATGAGTTTACATTTTCATGTAATCATTGTAAAATTTTGAGAAATATTAAATAAGCAGAAATAATTTTGATCACCATTGAAGAAGTACATCGAGCAGTTTTTGTATTATCTTCCACTGCTAGAGGCGTAGATGAATCATCAGGAGCAGTATCAGTAGCAGCAGGAGCAGTAACGATAGTAGCAGGTGAAGCAGCAGCACTAACAGGACCAGAAGCAAGCCATACATTAGAATGTTCCCCACTGTGCGGATTTTCAGAATTCTGTTTCCAGAGAGGTAAACGTGCAGCTGATAAATCTGAACGAAAGCATCCGGAAGCATTCTTGCTTGTATCAGTTTCTAGCGCAGAATTAGATTCATTAGAACGCTTCTTCTTCTTGCGCTTTTTGCGCTTCTTCCGCAATGCTTTTTGTTCGTCTTCTTCCGTACTGTCATCTCTCGATAAAGATATCACGTCCTCCATAGTTTCACTATCTGTCTTTTCCGTTTTATCTCGACAACTTCCCTAGATTTTATCTTTTTCATTTCTAAACCATTACTTCACTTATTATCAATTTTACAAATAGAATGAACAAAAAGTCAATTATTAAAATAGCAACTAAATTCGTGTTTGCTACCTTTCCTCGAGTTCGTTGTCGACGTTTTAACTTCTTTCGGCTTTTTTTTGCTAAATACAAATTTAATTTTCATTTTATAAATAAATATACCTCTCTCTCTCCTATTGTTAATTGTAATAAAAGAAATCTGATGGCAAAATGCCACTTTTAATTTTTTTTCCATAGTTCTAATCAGTACATGAAGAAGTAAATAATACAAAACAGTAAATATAGAATAAAAAATCTTAGTTTAAATTTAAATAAGTATAAAGAGACTGATAGAGCAAACAAACGAACAAGTTCGCTTCCGACTGCCGGCTTCTCCTTGTTCCACTTCGTTTTGTTGGCTTCCACTAGCAAAAGACATTGCATCCATCTGAAAATTTTTATTTGTCATCTTCGGTTAACTGATCATCAGAAGCTTCACTATATCCAATAGTTGCATTTCTCTTTTTAGCAATTATTTATTCCTATGCACCAAACTTCAAGGGATATTATTAATACTACAATACAATAAACAAAACTAATGACAATCATTCATTTTTTTTCAGTTATATACAGTCTACATGTATATGTTGAATTGCATTGCAATAAATTAGTATTTAATAAATTATAATTTTACTGAAAATTAAACCTCACAAATTATTATCATTCAAATCATTAATAAAATAAATGATTAAGTTTAATAGTAATTAATAATATTTAAATTAAAAACCTACACTGCTTGCCTTTGCATAATCAGTTCGTTCCCAAACATTTTTGTCAAGTCTGCGGCGGTGCTTTTTTTTCTCATTTTTGTCATCCACTGAGCTTTCATTTGCTGGTTTAGTTTTCTCTGATCTATTTTCTGCATCCTAGCAAAATTTTCATTATAATTAAAGAGCAATATTGATAGTATAAATGAACAAAAAGTGCTAAATATCTTTTTGCCAGAAATGGATTTGGAACAGTATTACTTGATGATTTGGGCTAAAATTTGGGTAAAATAAAATTCATTTCCATACAGTGTATCATATGTATTTGTTCTATGTTTGGTTAAGTTTGACGTGCTGTACTTTCAACAATCTCATATTGCTAAAAATATAACACACTAAGCAATGTTTAACTGAAGCAATAATATATAATATATCGCTTAATATTATCGGTCGAAAATTATCTTATTTTTTTTGCCATAACAATTTTAAAGATACAATTTATCAATTAAATACAATTTACTTTGGAAGTTGGCAGTTTGTTTGAACGGAAAAATCATGGGTAGATGGAAATCTACACAATGAATTGGAGAGTAGGAGTTTAATTTTACATGAGACTAAGGTTTCAGTTGTTGCACACATGATTATTCAGTTTGAAAATATTACATATGCGCATAAAAAAGGCAACATACTATATGTAAGACTTTATAGTAATAAGTAATGCATTTCTGTAGTGATCAACTTGTATAATAATGGACAGTGTATAATATAAACTGTCCATAATTATACACCTTTTTATAGAGGAATATTTAATAGAAATGCATTACTTATTATTTAATAATTATGGACAGTGTATAATATCATAAAGCTTTTTATATATTTAAGCCAATCTATCAGACGCATTAATTTCTCCTGACTCTCATACATGGAATTGTTGTTTGGTTTATTTTAAGCAATATCAGAAAACTTGTCAAAATATGATTAAACTGAAACATTCAATGCATGATAAACTCCACAGAATTCAAAATTTAATAGTTCATTCTGTGAAGTTAATTTAAGATTAAGCATAACATAAAAGATTTACCACCGGACTTTTATAAAATCAGTAAAAAAGCATTAAAGATTAGCAATTCCATACTTGTGCTGTACGTTTCTTAACAGGCTTCACACCAAAGTCAAAAAATATTTCTCCCGACATGCTAGTTTCAAGCTGTAGGCAGTAAAAAAGATAAAAATATTGATGGAAAGAATCACAGTTTAAATCCTTTTGTATTTGATTTTATGACTATTCAAATTTGGTTTTAATCAATTATATATATGCAAAATACAAGTTAATTTTATGAGCCATTCTTATTACACTTGACGAGCCCGAAAGAACGAAATAATGGCCAAATTTATATACTAACTGATTCGTAAGTTCAAGAACAAAGTGATTCCGAAAACCTGAATTACTAAAAATTATTATTGTTAATTAAGTGAAAAGTTTTATACAGCCACCAAATCCTATATCCATTATCTTTGCAAGCATGACCTTGTTTTTTATGATCATCAAAGTAACTGATATACTGTGACCACACTTTTTTTTCTGTAGCAATATAATTTCTATTGTTAGCTGAAAGCAAATAGAAGTTAAATACATTAGGGTGCACTTGATAGAAGCTGGAGAAGGGCATGGCAAACAAGTGCGATTTAAAAAGAGGAGCAGTAACTCTCAATACCGAATTAGTTTTTAAGCTTGGGTAGCTTGAAGCCATTAGTTGTAGCTCGAAATTCAGACTATTTGAAATAATCAGAGTGAAAACTTGGTGAAACTTGAAATTATGAAGAAATTTCTTTTCAGCTTGCTACAGAAAAGCGCAAAATAAATTTTTACCAATTTTAGTTTCATGAGATAGGAAAATAAATTCCTTTAATTTTAATGCAGATAACAAAAGAAAGTAAGAATAGAAAAAATTGTAGTCGAAACTTAGATTACATAGGTAGAAACTGATAACTTTGAGGTTATGTAATGACTAAAAAAAAAATGTTGATACTGCTTAATGAGCAAATGGCCACTTCAAGTTTTGACCTACCAACGAGCGTGGGATATATACTAACATCTCGTCTTTTTTTTGAATATAATAATCTTTATATGTGGAAAGAAAGTAGAAAGTGTATTCAGAAGGTTAAGTCCAAAATTTAAAAAAAAAAGCATACACGAGCGGTAAATCGTTCAATTTCAAATATTTCTAATTTTGGCGGGCGTAATATTTTATAAAGATTTTTTGGACATTAAAAAAATACTACCATAAAGCGTTACTTCAGTAATTTTTGGTATGAAATATTGTATCTAAAAATATTAACCATATTTTTGATGTATTCATATCATTTTAAGCTATTTTTAACCTTTTAAATTATTTTTTTAAAATGTAATACTGCAGAACTCCAACTACTTAAGTTCCACTATGAATTATTAGAGTTAAAAGTCCTATCATTCTACTGTATTATCATGTTTCAAAAACTTTATGGATGCTTTATTATTCTGCAGTAAAATGTTTGCAAAGTTTTTTGAGTAGATTACTTCAACCACATCACTACATCTTTCAATTTCTTAACCCATCAAAAAAAATTTCTGTCAATAACATTGCGATTTTTTATAGCATTCATACATTTTCTAAAATTTTCATTCAATTTTTTTTTGACAATTTTGGACAGTGGTATAGTTTTTCTTTCCTGCTTCATCGCTAACAAAAATTTGTATTACTTAAATCATAATTTTGAATTATGACTCAATAGTTTTGTTTTGTTTGTTTTTAGATAACCCATCAAGTGTGATTATTTGTTTCATTTCAAAACAGTCAGTAGCTTTTATGCTTAAATATTCATTCAGATTATACTTGTAAATTTGCCATTAATGCACTAAATTTGATCAGTTGAATTAGTAATGTAGTATGATAAGTACAAAATAGTTCATAATTGCCATGCACTCAGATATTTGAAACCATTTGATATGAATCAATGCTTGTTTGTTTGTTTCTGCTTCTTTTAAATTCTCGTTATTCATTCATTCTTTGTCACAATTTGCAATACTTTGAAAAACTGTAATAAATTCAGATTTTTCATCTTCTTCATTTTAATTGCTAGCAAAGATATTACCCATTTCATTTTTCAATGAGAGCAGTTTATCCAAATGACAGCATTACAATATTTTATACTGTTCACAATAAAACTGATAAAACATGCAGTCTGATATTAAGTTTTCTCTTTGAAATGATCAACAATTGCTGATCTAAAATTGTTTCCAGATGTCATGCCTTCATCTAACTTCTCACAGTCAGCTCGGTACTTATCATTTATTTTCATCTATTGCATATATCTGTGACCAATGAAGGAGAAAAAATATCGTAGTTGTAAAAAAGTTTTGATTATATTGTAATTATGACAAAACAAAATTCGTTTACATCAAAAGAAATGTAAAGGATGTGATTGTAAAAGTCGTGATTACATTGATTGCAATTTAAATTTCTGAATGTAATCAGTCCTGTACTTTGCAAACAGCGTGTGAAAATAATCTTGCTCCTTGAAATTTTTTCATTTCATTAACTTTGATCGACTAAACCGATAAAAAATAGTTTAGTGTAATTAATCTATTTATCTAATAATTAAGTAATGGGAGTACAGTCTCAGCATACATTTTTTTTAAATGAATTGAATTATAAACTAAAAACTCACTGTATCCGGGAAATCGAATCAGCTAAAAAGCTATTTTTTTGCAACATCAAATTTGTCATAAAGTCATGCTTAATTAGTAGCGCATGGAAATAATTGGCAGATACCAGTTCTGACGATTTTGTCATTTGAATTAATATCGCTAATTTTTTATTTGAAAAAAAAACAGTTTAGCTTATAGAGAGATAAAAATTGCAAAAAAAAAAGAATACACAGATTTTATTCCATGACAAAAAATGCCTTCAAACTTTTCCAGCGCCAAACTTGTCCAAAACTTCTTCCATCTGCTTATGATAATCAAACATTAATTGATTGAAATGCCTCAAACAAATTGATAAATCAACCTGAATTGCTGGAATTTTGCGTAAATCAGCCTAAAAATAAATCAATCTTATTTACAAAAAGTTGACAATGGGTTCATTTTAAAGGATATCACTTCTAAACAATCAAATATTTTAAAATCTGTTAAATATATTTTGCTCAGATGTAGTCATTTTGTAGCTAACAGTATTTAAACAGGTGTGATAATTTTAGATATTTTTCAACTTAACTTGTCAATTCATTTCAAACTCATTAATGTTATTAATCAAAAAAATAGTAATATTTATTAATATGATTACAAAAAAAATGAAACACGAATTTGAGTAAAATCTTTTTCAATTTAGCAAGGCAAAACTGAACTGATAATTAGGAAGTTTTTGACTTTCCAAGAACAATAGGGTTTTTAAAGTGAGAACAAAAACGTACTTTCACCATTGCCAACTGTGTCTCATAATCCTTTTTGCACTGTTCAACTTTGAAATTTTCTGTGGTTGTTTGTGTTTCATCTCTAAAATTACTGTTCTACTTCGAATTTTCCAATGATTAGATGTATTTAATATCTATTCAAATATAACTTAATATATTCTAACACGTAAGTTTGATGAATAGAAAGTGATCGTAGCAAGTTTAATCATTAAGTAGTCTGCAAAAATCACATTTTCAAATAGTAATATTACTTTAAAAAAGGATTAATATTTATTGAAGAATGTTATTTCTAAGAAGACAACATTTATCTACTTGAAAAAACAAGTATTACCTTTTACAATGAATTATATTAAGAAGCTAAACAATGAGCTAACGTCATAACATTCTTCATAGCTTTTAGTAAAATCAGATGCCTATTAGCTCTACATCGCGAAAATGTTTTGATTATTTTCTCACTTCAATAAAATAAAAAAGAAAACATGCTTAATATTGCTCTTTTCAAATTCTGCAATCACCACATCCATTTGCCAGCGTTTTGCTTTCAAAACTTCAATGGAATCCATAATTCGTCCATAATCCGACATAACCCAAGTTTTTAGTGGATTTGTTACCTAAATTATTTTATCCACAATAAATCTGTCCGGTCATACTTATATTTATATTTCTAAAGCCTCAATAAATTTATTCCTATAACTTTAAGGAAAAAGGCTTCAACATTGACACAACAAAGATTCAATATCAAGTATGTTCAAAAGACCAAAAAAAAAGTTTCGAGTATTCTAGAACATTAAGGCATGAAAACTGCATGTAATTAACTGATTTGATATTAAAAACTTAAATAATCGTCCTTATACCCTGTCCTGAATTTCAGTAAATAATGTTCGTTGCAAAGTACCAATCATGTCATACATTTGACTTTGAGATTGTAGAAACTTTGCATACTGTAAACGAAAATTAAATTATATAGTCTATTGTTCAATTAAACTCTAATTTATCAATCAATACATGATTAGAATTATGAATTTGTGAACTTTTTTTGTGACTTGTATTTGACCTGTTCTTTCCTTTATGCTTGTCAATAATTATTTATTGGAATTCAAATTGTAATGCAGACCTCCTTATGCTCAGCAACTCGTGGGATAAGCAATTTGATAGATACTGCAAGATTTTCACTTGTAATTGTCGTTTCATTTTTGAGATGAAATTTTCTTGAAATCGCATCTGAACAGCTCATTAACTCATCTGCGACAGCCCGTATTGTAGGTAGTAACTCCATCTGTTATCCACTTTATCATAAGTTCATAACAATACTCATTAATCCAAGTTATACTTCAATATTAATTGAAATGCTCAATGTAAGTCATCAAATACCTCAATTTCATTATGGCAGTAGTAATGATAATAATCAACTTATTAATATTATAACAGTAACGTTGATATTACTGTTAAAAATGTAGTGACAGTAAAAATAATTGAAATAGTTTTATGATCCTAAATGTATTCAATTAAAAATCAGTCGATAACGCTACATCGACTTTGTTTTCGTTTCAATTACGCTACTGCAGTCTCTAGCAAAGCCTACTAACATAAAATTGCTTTTGAGCTCATTTGATTGCTTGCCTTATAAAATTATGAAATGTCAATTAATATTAATTGTAAATTGTTTAATTTGAATATTGTAGAGTTGAAAATCACTAATATATCTAAAATTTTGCTGAAAAATAGATATAGTAACAAATTGTCAGCAGTGCTTGTTAAAATTTGAATATCAAACGGGAAGTACCGATGAAACGAGTTCTGCAGGATACTGAGTCTCGCGGGAACGTTGGAATTTAAACTTTTGAAGCAACCGATCAAACATATTGCTGAAATTACTTCAGTATATTCAATATTGCATATTTCTAAGACTTCATCATTAGCGTATTTTTTATTTTCTGTGAATATTGTTTAAAAAATTATTACAAAATCGCAAAAGTATAGAATTAATTCTTATGATAACATGCATTTATTACAACAGACTAGTTACACTGCTTTACAGCAGTTTTTCCAATTAAAAATAAATCGATTTCAAAAGAAAACTGGTCATGAAAAAAAACTTTAATAATTATATTCAATACTAGTAATATATCTAAACTATTTAATGACAACAACTATTCATACATTTATTCAAAAAATCTTGTCATCTCGAAGCAAAAATTTTCCACTTATAGTTTGAATAAGAGATTTTAGCTTTCAGTGGATAGCATTGCATATTTATAAGAGTTTATTTCGGATGAAAAATAAATTGATATAGATTTACCTTTTAGGCATATCACATAAATATTACTGACAATTTTCTATGTCAAAAAGAATTAACAATGCGTTACTTGAAGGAAATTTTCATACTTAACTAATTCTGCTCATTATTGTTTTCTATTCAAATTTATTTTCGAATTACTATTTAAGAATACAAGTGGAAATTTCTGATGCAAATTTTGTTAATTAAAAAATAACAATGAAAGCAAATTTTTCTTGCAAACAAAGACCAATGTAGCATGAAAATCAATGATACCACTGATTGTAAGTTGACTTTGACCTCTGAAATGCTGGATTTTTTAAGCAATAATAATTAAAGTTATATTATTGTAAGTGAAGATGATTGCCCAATTTTTCGTCTGTATTGCGTTTAAAATTTTATCTTAAGACAATACATATATATCAATATATAGGCTCAAAATTGTTCTTCATATTCTTAATGAAAAAGTTTATCCAGTTGCATAAATTTTTGATATTTCTCACAAAAAGCAGATTTCAAACAGTGTTATATGTGGATGAAAACCTTTACGGCATAGTTTTTTCATCAGGTCATTTTTATGCAGTGATTTTCAGTGCAGTCTTCTTTCTTTCTTCGCTTTCATTGCTTAAAACTTTTGGTTAATTTTTCTTGCAATGAAAATTTCACTAATATTTTTTTATCCAATCGATTATTTTCGTATTTTAGCTAATTTGAAGTTATTCAACTTGCATGCACTCAGTGATTCAGAAGTTTAAGCCCGCAACTATATCTTTGTTACTTCTTGATGAATAAATAATGTTACTAAAAGTTGGCATTTTTATTGAGATGACCAGTTTTTCATTCTGTCCTTTGCCTGGCTTAATCCAAAAATAGACTTTCACTTTTGATTATTAGTACCAATTATAAACGTTACGTACAGGTTTAATTTGCTGAACAAGAAATTGTGTGTCATTTACGTGATCCTTTCACACAGTTCCTGAAATTGGATTCCAACCAAGCATACAAACTCCTTACCGGAAATAATTTTAGACTGGCTTACTTTAATTTGAACTGGAAGGAAATGATCAAGATTATAGAGAATTGTGACTTGAAGTTATTTTAGCATTGCTGGCGTTAGTTTAAGGACGTTCAGATGATTAACTTTTCTGCCAATATCATAAAATTCAATATTTCATTATAATACATTAACTTTTATTTCCATAACTTCTCGCTAGTGCATGTTCAGCCATTGTTTAAAACTAACAGCTGAGGAAATTTTACTGAAATTTTTAAATTTTTGTTAACCTTCGCACCATATTTAATTAAGTCTTTATATTCATAATTAAATAACTTAAAATAAACCAGAGATTTTTTCTGAACTTCAACGAATGATGTATTTTGTGTGTTTGTAGAAAAAGTTAATAAACGATGCATTTTAAATCTGAATATGGGATTTGACATGGTGGTTTAGCTGTGAATATCTTAATAATGCTATATAAGAAGCTCTTAGTTGTGATATAATTTGCTTTGTATCATTGTATACTGAGTAATAAACCACTAAAATTACTGGTGAATGACAGCACTTGATTGCATATGCTTATTCTTATGAAGATTTTGTTCTAATTATTTTATGGCAATGTTTTTAATTGTAATTATATAAACAATTTGCAACTTTATAATTTCAGAAATGTAGTGGGTCCTAGCACGATTGTCTGCTTAAAGCTGCCGTACTGAACTGGGAAGAGATCAGATTTTTGGTTGAGGCTGATGATTTCCATTAACAGGATTAGACTGAGCATTGAAACTACTTGACCTTAAAGGATACTGTAGAGAGAAATGAAAAAGTATTAATATTATCTAGAGATTGAGAGCTGTTAGATCATGACCGTGGGTGTGAGTGAAGAATGAAAAGACTTGCAAAATATTTCGACTTATGCAACTGTAAATAGCTTAATATAGGTAATAATACATCAATACTAGTTGGTAGTAATGAATGATTTGGATAGAGAGTAACTTTAACTTCTTGGGGTTGGATGATAAGCTTGTACATTAGCTTTTCTTAGCTGAGGCAGGATTTTTTAGTTGCGACAATACTTAATCATAGTGTGTTTCCATGAAGTAGTCTGTTGTTTTTGTTCATGCGCGTAAATATGTTAATTGCATAAAGTCATTTGGAAAGTTTGTGTTATATGTACATATGATGCTATTATAAGCAATTTATTGTTGTAGATTATAGCATAGGATTTGGTACGTCTTTTAATTTTTGTGGCGTTTTTCTTTTTTTAGTCCATTTTCTATTTGATGTTTATAATGGAGATGAATGAGTTAGCGGAAACGTTATTATAGAGTTGTTTACTCAAATTGGGTAATTTGTTTTGCATTTTTTCATCCTGAAATTAACTGACTGCAAAGATCGACTGCTGATACTATATTCCTGTAGAGAGGATTTTCGAATAGGCAGGTCTGTCGTGATTCACGCATGTGTTAACAACTTATCAGTTAGTAAAAGTGAAACTAGTGATGACATCCTCTTTGGATGATCAGCAAGAGCGCCATTATATTGGTAACCTACTGTGTGAAGAAGATGTATTTGTCCCCACTAATAGTTGTAACATCGGTTTGTTTGTCTTTATCAACTTTACAAAACCTTGCAACGTTTCTTTGAAAACCACAAATTCTTATGAAAAATAAATATTCAAATGTTTGTATCAATTTTATTGAAAATTCTGTTTTTTTAAATTTTGAAGCTGGAAATATTTTCCTAACTTTCAGTGTGATGTGTTACATTCATTTATATTTTTAAGCAAACTTGGTTATAATTTCACTGGTTTCAATATAAGTTTTTTAATTCATCTACCTTCGAGATATTTCAGAAACAGGGGGAAATAATAGCAATATCTCGTCTGGGAATGTAATGCCAAGTTCAGGTCCAATTGGCCCAACTCCAAATCGTACTTTCTGGCCGGAACCACCGCCACCATATAGTCCATGTTATATTAACTCACCTCAGTGGACATCACTTAGCCATCAAGCGCCAGAATTACTGGCACCCTTGTCAGCTGCTTTATCTTATGGACAAGCACCTACTGCCACAGCGGTTACACGCACTGATTTTTATCAGTCACCCTATGGAAGGGTTAATTTTTCGAGAATTTTTTTTTGTTGAAAAAACATTTAAAAGCTTTTTGATTCTTATTCAACTTCATCCCATGCAGATAGTTTATCACGCTAAGACTTTTTTGTCATATATAGTACTTTCTTTTTACTTTCTAGAAATTTTTTGAATCTACGTGTATCGTACTTTAACTAAATCGAAAGCACTTGGGTTCTGTTTTAAGATAACTATATTTTTTTCTTTATTCCAGCGTGATCGATCCAACATTGTAGTTTTAATGTTTCTAGAAAATTTTGGGTTCTTCATAACACGTTTTTTCGTAACTTTGAGGTCTTTGAATGAAATAATTTTTAATACTATTATTTTTCGAATTTCTCATTCATACCTTTAAGCGCGATGAATGGGAAAATGTGTCAAGTGCAGCAGTGGATGCTTTCATGTCATCAGCTGCGTTCCCTTATGCCCCTCGTCAGACGGTATCGGTATGTCAATTTACACTGCTATCACTTAACTTTTTTGTTATTCGTGGTTTCTAAATTTTCTATACCAAGTTTATCATTGTTCATGGCAAATATTTTCTATTATTCTACTGTTGAATTAGTTCTAAAAAATATTTCCAAGTTATGTTTTCGTGATATGAAGTGAGGACAAAAAAATTGGAACATTCATACTGTAAGTAAGTGTGTTTTGACACACTGATTTAACCACTATTTCAATTCCTTACCTAATTAAATTTTTTAATATGATTTGCTCAGCTCATTTTTACTTGGTCATAGACGTGTCATAGACAAACTTTTCAGGTTTTGAAGTCTCTCATGACAAAAAATAATACTGTGGATAATATGCACCAGCATCATTATAAAAATATATATCGTCACCACCAACAGCATCTCGGAAGTGCACCGCCTGATCGACGGTTATTCACAGTTCCGCCACCACCATCGCTACCACGCGTTTATTCTGATGTTGACGAGAGTAGTGTATTACATCTCGATCCCTTTTTACCACAACATCTTCCTCCGAAAGAAGCAAAGAAAACTGCTAATAAACCCACGCATGTGTAATTTCATTTTCTTAGATTTTTTAGAGTTCTTCTCTAAAGCCTTTCAGTACTATCGTATTCGTTACTGTGGTTTACTGGAATTCGTTTGAAAGCACACTTGTTTTGAAATTTTAAACTCTGAGAAACCATTAGTTTCAAATTTTATTTTTCCGCACTTTTTAGGGAAAATATTTCTTTAAATTTGTTACCGTCGGAAGTACTTCCAAAAACCGTGGCTTTACCATTGGGAAAAAGCTATCGAGATGCAGCTTCTAAAAAAGAACACGTCATATCAAATGCGTTATCGGGATCAAATCCACCGTCGTCTGTGCGTCACACTTTATCACTATCTGGTAATAGTCCAGAATGTTTCCGCATTTTTCTGTATAATTACTTATAATTTGAAGCAGAAATAATTTCATCTTCATCATATTGCTTTTTTTTTTCTTAATCCTCATGTATGCAATTTAGGAAGTAAAGATAAAATTGTAAAAAGCGTTCCGTCGTTGCCGCAGGTGAACAGTATTCGTCAATCAAATAACGAAAACACACATTTATTGAAAACTACTGCAATTAATGTTGCGATTGAAAAAGATAAAAAAACTATTCATTGTGTGACCAACCGTGTTCCTACAAAAAAAGGTTGGATATTTTATAGAATGTTGTGGAAGAAGATTAATTCAAATTTGTGATTAATCATAGTTTTCGGCAGGCCCTGGAAGTGGAAATAATATTATGGATAACGAATTCCAGAAGATCACTCATAAAAAAAATAAGGCTACAAGAACCAACAAAAATGATTCAGTGATTGCTGATGAAGATGGTATACTGTTTCGAAGTATTTTAACATCTACATTATATCGATATCCTGGATTATATACATGTTTCTCAGATGGATCATTTTTCTCTGCTTCAATAAAATATGCTTAGGAGTACGGAAAAAAAATTCTGCGAATAATATATTGTAACTTAATGTTGCTTATGCAGTTTTAGAAATAATGGTCTGAAGTTATATTTTTTTTAAAGGTGATTATTTTTTATATTATATTTATTATAGGATTGACTGGTAATCAGGTTGTGGATGCATCGAGCCGTTTTGATATTTTACAATCACTTGGTAGTCAGACCACAAATACTACTGAAGCCCGTTCTACACATCAATCTGTATCGTCAATAGAAGACAGAACAGAATGTCCTTCAGTGGATACAGTACAGAAACCAAAGAATGAGGAATCAGGTATGGTGAATCCATCTTACTATTGCTTTATTGTGAAAGAGGTTTGCAATTTTTGATTGAAGTATCCATTTTGGTCGTAGCGACAATTATGTTCACAGTAGTCATTCAACTATACAAAATAAAGCGTTTGTATTAATCTTTTTTATCATTTGATAATTGAGTTTCTACATAAGACCCGCATCTGGCAACTATAGATTTTTTAGTCCATGTTTCACGCATTTTGATGGTAATCATAATCTCCATACTGTTAAGTCTAAAAATTTATGTTCTCAAAAGTAAAACCATTAGCGAGTACATTAACAGTAATGAAGTTCAGATGCGATCCTCATCTTTTTGAACATAAAACAAATGTATTTGGAATTTAAACTTATCGAGGAATTTGTGTCTTGCATTTTAATTTGTTTATTCTGATAGTTCATGAAGATGTTGCATCAATAGCTGCATCAAGGGAACTGATCTCTTTAACTACACCCTGCTACTTGATATAAAAAATGAATTCATTTTATGATCTTTTTACATATAATTTCATTTTCTGAAAAGTTCAGAAATATGTAGTTTTGAACGCTCTATACATCATTTGTATTTAATTTATTGCATTGTGTGTAGAAATTAGTTGCTCATTCTTAAAAAATATAAATCATGTGAATTACTTGACAAAACATAGGTCTGAACTTTATTTTACATTTTCAATATCAAAATCAAAATGTACTTTTAAATTAATAAAAGCAAAGCTGAATTTTTATTAATTGTTAAGTTTTACCACTTCATGTTTATTTATAGAAAAAGCACAAAAGAATAATACAAATGCAAAGGCACTAGCTGATGATAAGATTAAAGGTGATAATCAAAGTGTGGTTAAACGCCCAAGCTTATCTTCAGCTCAGCGTAATGGTAAGTTGTAATCTATCTTAATTTTGTTTATATCTTTTGATATGTTTAATTTCACGTATATGGCTTTTGTTGCTAATTTTAAAAAAAAAAGAAACGCAGGCAATGCGCTTGAAAACTATGATGTCAGAATATCGTATTTCACATTTACCAAAGACTGCTGTATTTTTCATGCTGCCTCATTCAGTATTTCGCAAATCATTATTACCTAAAATAAACTGCTTGAATATATTTATGGCTATAACTTTTGTTGAAACCGGTGGATGTAAGAAAATGTAAAAGAGTCTTATTGTTTATTGGAGCAATTGGTTTTTTAGTTCTGAAGAAACCGGTGGGAACTCGAAGAGAAGGGGTTCTTCACTCGTCAGCTGATGCTAATAGATGTGGTCGAAAGCAGCGGAACGCAGCTAAAAAACGTCAGAATAACTTCACAAATTACATAAGTACATATTTTTTTCCTCATCACTTTTTTCTTGTTATTTGCTGTATGGTGACTTCTGGTTAATCGCGCAAACATTTATGTTTTAGAATTTTTCGTTTGTGTGAATTGTAATTTCAGACGTCGTTGTAACATTTATATTTTCCATTATCAAAAGTGTTCTCCAGTGGGTCATGTATCTTGTACTTGACATATCAGTACAGTTATGGGATATTACTCTTTATACGTAAGTTCAAATTTATTCATGCCCTCTGCGAAAATGTTTTTTCAGTAATTATATTCAGCGTTAGCATCTTTCATAATTTGTTATTTAAATAATAGCGATGCTGCAATTTAAAGTTGTTTCATAACATTGGACAATAGGTAAATTTGGAATTTTCGATGGACAACATTCAATCCTTTTCTAAGTCTTAATTTATGATTGGAAATATATTTTCGGTAGCATTTTGCTTTATTCAAAAAAAAAAAGAAGCCAAAATGAATTCAAGAGTTTAAATTGTTAAAATCATTTATTTTTGATATCACAAGGCAGTTCTCAATAAATGTGTCATTTCTAATATTTTATTTTAAAGCATTGTAACTGGATACAAAAATATCGTGTCTATTTGTCGTCGATTGTGGTACTCTATGTTAGACTCGATGAGGTAATATTTCTGAAGTAACATGTTTATTCTTTGAGACAGTGATTTGTGAATTTTTATGAATTGAAGCATTTTAATTTGTTCATCGGAAAATCGTGTTAAGAATTCAAATTGGCAAGATTTCAGAGCTGAAGCATAAAATGGAGAAATTCTATTCCAAGTTATGAAAATATTTGTCAAATATGTAAATCAGTATTAATTCTGGTTAACGCACCGTCATTTAATAGTAGCGCTGTTTTGAATGCAAACTGGAGTTTCGATTTCCGTCAATTTAGAATTCAATTTTACTGATCATTTATTATGTAGGAAGTTTTGGGAAAGCATTCGTTTGTCCAACATCAAAAAAATATGGACACATCAAGTGAAAGTGGAAGAATGGGGTCTAAGTGATAATATTCAATTACCAGTAACAGGTGATTCTCAAGATGTAATTTAATGACATTCAGGAATATTTTTATGCGTAGTACACATGCACGCTTTTTAATGTGTTGCATGGGTAGATTTATCATTGTTTTTTCTCCTTAAGTCGGGATTATTCAGGCGCAAACTTTGAAGTTATAGATTTCAAAATTATTTTATTGTTACATCATATATTTCATTTACCTTTTTTACATAACTTAAAAATAATTAAGGGGATGAAGCAATTGAAAGGATTCTGAAATGCCGTGGACGTGATGCGTACGTAATACTGGGTGTAAGAGCAGATTGTAAGGATGATGAAATCAAGCGATATTATAAAAAACAAGCAGTTCTAGTTCATCCTGACAAGGTAAACCAAGTTTTATCAGTTTTACTAAGCAATCTTTACAAGTCAAATATTTCATATCTTTGTCTGCTGCTATAATATAAGACAAATATGAATTTAATAAAATGTGAGGTGTTTAATCATTAAAAATTTGTTGCTATTTACCAATCTTCACCTAATTTGAAAAAGTTGTGCACAAGAATAACACACTAAGTAGGTCGCTTTGCAATGTTTTGTCTTATCTGCTTCAATTTTATCCAGATTTATTCATATAAAGTAAGAATAAAATAAGGCATATAAAATGCTAAGAAAATGTTTAGAACTGTTCAAGTGGAGCTGATGAAGCCTTCAAAATTCTTTCAAAAGCTTTTGATGCGATCAGCACTCCTGAAGTTCGAAACAAATATAATATTGCTAATGTACATAAAAATCCATTGGTTAGTGTTTAATATCTGCGGACTACACGCTTTCATATTTATATATTGTACAGTAAAATGTTCGAGTTTTGGATTTTAAAAATTTTTTTGAAGCACAAAGAGATGGAAGAGTTATGGGAACGTTTGCGTCAAAAAGTGAATGAAGCAAGAAATGCGATGTATTGTGATTGTGGTAGTAAGCATACACGTATACCGATAGAGGGTATTCGAGCATCGGAAGCTCGCTACTGCAAAAAATGCAGAGTTCGTCACCCGGCAAAACATGTATGACTTTTTGATACACTGAAAATAGATAGAATAGATCAGTCATTCTGGACATGATGGTTTGGCTTGAAATGTAATTTCATGTGAAGTGGGTTCAAATAACAGGTGATTTGTTATAATACAATGACCTATAAATGTAATACTTATTCTTTTGTCTTTGGAATCAATTAAAATTTGATCTTCTGTTATACATAAAAGTTAGAAACTTTTGATTTTATCATATTTGAGAACGATATTTGGGCAGAAACTCGCCTTGGTGGCTTTGTATGGGTTTATTACGCATGTTTGGATGGTGTTGTTTATGATATCACGCAATGGGCTACTTGTTCGGTACTTTTTTGTCTCTTCATCTGATCTATATCATTCAAAATAATCCATTATTCATGCTGATGCAATATGTAACATAGTTTGGATATTGCAGCAGTTTATGTGAAAAGAAAACTAACTGCATTTCCATCAGATATTATAGTTTCACATATTTGAAAAATTATAAATTTTATTGATAACTACGGATCTGGAATTTAGTAAATTTTTATATTTTTAGAGCAATCATTTAAAGCATTTGAAAGCCAATAGTCATGTTGTGCAGTATCGCTTGGTCACAGCCAATGGATCCGCTTTTAATAAAAATTCATCTCAACGGGCAAGAATTGGGTATGTTGTCGATTTTGTTTGTGTGTTCTATTTTTTTAATACTGTACATCTTTAAAATAATAAGTGCTAAACAGCGGTATAGCAAAATTTTTTTTTAATTTGGGAAGTATTGAGAAAATCACTTTGAGCCACTTTACCAAACCGAAAAGTCCTGTTGCTGTATAGAACAATATTAGCCAGTACTAAGTCTTTTCTCATGATTTATTTCTTGAACTCAGGTGGGAACTAATTTTGTGTTCGTAAAATAACTCGGTGGGGTAACGTTTTGATTACTTTGTTGGTGTCGTTCCATATTGATTAAAGTTATTTTTGTTGCAGGCGGCAGCGTAATTACAATAATCTCTGTAGTTATAACCAAGGAGTGCTAGCTGGCGATGGTTGTGCCTGTTCAGTATCTCTTGGCTATAATGATTTAGGAGCAAAGTCACAACAGGCGTCATATCGTCCACCAGAAAGAACTTCCTTAAACGGTGACGGGCCACGTCGTGCTGGAAGACGTCGCAAACAACGATAAAGCAAAAATCAGCAGTGAAGGAATTCGTTAACAATTGAGAAGTCATAAATAGTTTTGAATTTTAAAATCTGTTTTGAAAAATTTATAGCTGTTTTAAAGGGAATATTATTTCTTATGTTTTTATAACGGTTTTTTAAATTGATTTTAAAGGAGTTCGTTAGTATTAAGTATTTTTATAAGATTCTCTTCATCTGTGAAATCATAGTGATTTATTCAAATTATGCTATTCAGGGCCTTCTCAAGTATTGATTTCATCTTCAGCACCAAGTAAAATTTTTATTATTTTCGTCCCATAATATCAGTTACAGCTTATTCATCTTATTTTAAAGTTGGAGCTATGTTTTCGCCAAATGGAACTCAGGGTCATGTATGACGTCGATGCTGGTAATGATGTCCAAGCATGTCATATGCCAATACTAGTATATTCACCTTTGGAACTAATTTTTGATATGGTATACTATAGCAAGTAATGTCAGTGCTGAATGTCTTCAAAAACCTTGATTCGATCACTCCTGCAAAATGTCTTTGTTTCTGCTGTTAAATCTTCTCAGAAATAGTTTCTTTGTTGTTCTTGAATATTATAGTGAATTAAACATTTTACTGATGGCTTTTGCAAGACATAAGATAAAATTGAATTTCGCTTGCGAGTTGAGGTCATTCACTCGAATAGTAACACTAAAGCTAATGTATGAATTATTCGAAATGATGCAATACTCTTGGTAGAGAGTACTGTGCAAAGAAGTCATGAAGAATTATGTCTGGTTCAATATGTTGGAAATAATTATTATAGGTTCAGAAAAATCGTGTTGGTGTTTAATTTTGTATTGGTTCATCTTCAGTTCGTGTAAGAAACTTGCTCATTTGGGTTGGGATATATTGAGGATTTCTAAGATAACTTTTTTAAAATTCCAGGGAAAGATTAGTGTAGTTTATTATCAGAAATATCAAGTGGGAGGAAGTATTTTCATAGATATTTATTGGTTAGACAACGATATGGTGGTAATAGATTTCAAGATTTTCTTAAATATCATTTTATTTGGATTTGGCAAAGAATGGTAAGCATTATTAAATATATCATTACTTCCGCACATCCATTTTTTGCGTATGGTCTGAGAGATAGAAATGGAGATTTGTTTTATGAAAAGATGAAATTACGCGACATGGCAGAACGATGAGTGATGCAGAATAGTAGCTGTGGTTTGGTAGTATATAATTTTGCTGGCAATGTGCTGAATGTACCCGCCTGTTCTTGATATCGCTTGAAGGCTAATGGAATGATGAGATGAAGAGTGGGTACTTCGGTTTGACTTGCTAAAAATCCTGTTATTGAAGAAAGTTCTTATATGTAGAGCATTTGAAATGTTCTTGAATATTACTTTTTATACTGATATTGATAAATCTTTTAGTTCACGACCGTAGACAGTAAGTTTATAGACTGAAATTGACCGAATAGCTAATAATTACTTATGCACAAAAAGCTGTTCTTAATCTTGATATTGTTTTAAAAAAATAAAATCAGAAGTGATTGAAATAATGAGGTGTAATAGAGAAGATAATTGAAAAATTGAAAAAAATTTTAACAAAGATTAGCTGTGTATTTTGCTGAAATACACAGAATCGTAAACTTAACTGCATTAAATTTCGGATTAATAATAGAACAATTGTAAATATGCTATATAATAGCAAATTAGATAAAGTTTTTGTCAAAAAGTAAATAGATTTAATCATTCGATCATAGTGAGTGAATGGGAAGATTGCTGCAATTAATGGAAGATGAAAAAAAAATTCAAATTAATAGAAATTAATGAAGCATAATAATATAGTTTTCAACCACAGCTATAGTTATTGTTCCCTATAATTGTTCCCTAATTTTGTTTTTAGAATGCCTGGTGATGATTTTGCTAAGATTTGTGCTCATAACGAATTTGGAGTTTTTGTTTATTTTTTTGATCCGAATCTCTGCTTTCTGCTTTTATCTTTGTCCGTTTTCAACATATAATCATACTACAAGCAAAAAATTGGTGAATCTGACCATAATATAGCTTTTGTAAATAAATAAATAATTACTGCAAGCGTGCAAAAAATCGGAACGGTAAAATGCCAAAATCTGACCATAAGTTACTTGATACCGTGTCGTATGCGTGAATATTCGGATGTACTACACAATTGTCCATTTTTATATGGAATGAATCAGCTTGAAGTAATTCACCCCATTTTTTGCTTTTAGTATGATTATGAGTTAAACGTTTAAATAGACGTAGACGTTAAAGTCTTCATGTTTGCTTCAGCTGTATAAATGCCACTGTATTCAGCATTAATTTCCCACTGTTGCTGTAGGGTAATTTATTAGTGGTGGTGAAAATAGAGTATGTCCAAGCAATATAGAAGGAAAAGTATTCAAAAATTAGAAAAGGAATAAACCAGAAGTTATCAGTATTCACCATTGAAAACATTGATTACGTTCACTACAAGCAAAAATTAACACATTAAAATGAGGAATCAAACATAATAGAGGGAAATTTCTATTTTAAATTATGTTAAGAAGTATGCTGGAATATAACTGACAAAGTTGCAGAAACTGAAAAGGGTAATTTTTTGACAAATATTGAACAAAAGTTTTTTTGATTTATTCTTGATTTACATAAATACTACGATTAAAGTTCAGAAAAAGCGTAGCGAAAAAATAAAATCGGAGTGTTCAGTATTATATTTATACAGTTTATTTTATCACACTAATACTTTAATGGAAATCATTGAGATTTAATTATTTGTAATTATAAAATATTTGCCAGAATTCTAAATAGAAAATTCAAAATTGCTAAAATATTTTAAACATAAAAAATCAGAGAAAATTACAAAAAAAAGGCAAATGAAAAGAAATAAGCAGAGAAATTTTAGTTAAAAATTTTTAGTTCCTCTTATCAAAAATACTGATTGTGTATATAGTAATTGACTCAAAGTACAATAAAAGAGTTGAACTGAAAATAAGACTGTAAATGAAATAAAGAGCAAAAAATTTAATTTTAACTTTTTGTATCAACTTTTTGGATAACCGTTGTTATGGAGATTGCTGCAAATGCTATGTAAAACAAGTTGAATAAGGAGCAAGATTTTTTCAGTTTGAAACTCCTAAAATAAATTAAGTTAATCAGTGATATCCATTTCACACATGTTTTTGCATTTATCATGCATATTAATATCTAAACCAGTAAATTAATTTATCATTGATTATTGCATGTTACTGATATTACAAAGATTAGTCAGCATCACTAAATACTGATTATTAGTTATGTTATTATTATTATATTGGATTAAGCACATATAATTTATAGTTTCACTAAATTTTAATTTCAATCTTAATACGCATAACGAACGATAAAACGTGAAATGAATCAATTATCATTTCCCTGTCGATATTATAAATGTTCATAAATCAACAGACAATAGTACTTACAACAATTTAAGTTTATTTATGAAAAGGAAAAAGGGGCGATAAGTCACACTACAAAATGCTTCCACATTATTTTTAGTATTCAAACTTCTGCACACGCATGAATTTAGAGGCAAAAACCTTCTCAATAACTAATTAAAAATTTATTCATTGCTGTACTTACTATAAATATACTTTTTGATGAAACTTGAAAGGTTTTAGGTTGATATTTTTATAAATGGTACTTGTTTCGAGAAATAAACATCAATGTCATTCTCTTGTTCAAATATAAAGTTCAACTTCTTAAAGATAAATGCTATCCTTCATTCAATATGAAGATAAATTCAATTTATAAAACTTATAATTATGCCTTTTAGAAAATTAGTTTTAAAAAAAATGTACTGGTATACAAACTACTTTTTCATATTCCTTTTATGCTAAAATTCAAGTTAATCCCTTTGTTGTTTAGTTGGAAATACTCACACAAATAATGAAAGATATTTTACGTGAAATGCTTTAGTAACAGTCAGATTTAAAAATTTAAAATTGGTGGGTGATTAATATGAACTTATCTGTCAAAAAATTAATTTTAAGAAATTGATATTTCAAGTAAAAAGATTATCAATTTTTTGATTTTTTAAAAGCAATACTTGTATGAATTCGGGATGACAATTTCAGAAGCAAATCTTACTTTTTCGTGGCGATATTTGCGTTTGGTTCTAAAAAAATATTTGGTTATCAGAGTTGTGAACACGATCAACGGAACAAAAACCACAGCTATGAGTGCTGATGAAGCCCAAAGACCTTGAATTGGTCGACTGATTTGTTCGCATAGAAGTAAACCTGTGTTATGCCAAATAACATATACTGGATAACAGCCATATGAATTTTTTAACAAGTAATCCTGTAAATTTGTTTGAAAAAGTAATTAATTTCTTCAACTTATCAAATTAATTCTGATTCAATTTGACTAAAAGTAAAAGCAGTCGATTCAGATTGTTTTTACTTTCAGTCAAATTTTAATTATTTATACTTGATATCATTTGCGAAGTATCTCATTTAGTGCTTTGTTTTACGAGTTATAACAAATTATTTATCTCTTTATTGAACAAACCTTGCTAGAGCTAGTATAATCTTTCAGATCATCAACTGTTTGATAAAAAAGTTGTGTAAATATATGAATAATGTCATCGATGAATGCTCCCGAATACAAATAATTTTCAATCATCATGCTGCTGTTGTAATAAGCGTTACTAAAACCAAACTCACTCAAATTTTCTATTAAAAAAAGTCTTGTAAAATAGTTTTAGTAAGTGCTACCTTAACTATAGAAATTTGTTTTTATGACTTACCAAGATTTTCAAATTGCATAGTTAAAAAGCAAATATTCATAACTTTCATCAAAAAAAATCTTTTAGATAGAATCTAGCAAAAATTTGTCAGTAAATGCGGTAGCATTCTTAAAATAAATCTGTAACTTGCGTCCAACATAAATTTTTTATTATAAATAGCGAAATTTTAATTTTATAAAGTTTTTAACAAAGAAAATAAGGTAAAACGAACGTTACAGCTTTTACCAAAATTGACAGGTTATTTTTCATTTGTTCGAAAGATACATTTAATTGTGGTTCAACATCCACAATATGTCTTGGAATTGCATAATTATGTACTAAATTGTTTGTCGAATTCAGTTTAATTAAACTTTCCTTCAAAAAAGCTTATCATCATGTTTAGAAAATAGCATTAATTTGATATATTTATTCAAAGTTGATTTCTTGTTCTTTTAAAATCATAAAAATTCAATCCAAATTTGACCTCTGATGAGATATTCTGCTTCATGAGCTACCAGTAAAGTTATTTTATAAAATAAAGTAACACAAAATCAACTGACATTGAAATCCTTCAGCAAATTTTCTGGAAAATAATTTTCGAGATCGATATCGCTCAGTGTATTTATTGCCCTTTCTCTAATTTGATCAATATCAGCTATCTTTGCAAGTTCATCAACATCAAGTAAGTCATCAAATTTTAACGCTGATAAAATGGTTTTGTTGTTTTTGCATTTCATCAGGGCATCACTAAATGAATTTGTTATAATTTATGCATAACCTGTAAATTTAAAGACTTTTTAATTTCAGTTTAAAATTATTAGTTATGAACTTAATGTATTCTTGTTAATAAATTATCTCGAAGCTATTTTTGTTGGAAATGAATTTATTACTAAATAATCCTGCTTCTCTCTGTAAATACAAATTTGATAAGATAATGTTCTGACCTTCTACAATCATCATTCGTTAGCACAGTCAATACTGATTGACTACAATATTTATAGATTAGTATAACTGACCTTTTTGTCTTCTCTTTTATGCATATTCTTTATTACGTACCATTTTCACAGTGACATATAATGTTTAGCCGAAATTCTAGATTTTCTGCTTCTAGTTCATATTTGTTATTTATTTACACATAACAAATACTAAATATAAACTAGAATTCCATTGTATAAAAACATATATCAAGTAGTTCATGGATGAATTAGTTACCCCAAATTTACGATGAAATACTTCTGATCGATTGGATTTATAAGGTCTATTTTTAGTTCAGGTATTTCCCGAATAAAATGCATCTTAGAGTCGAGAAATAATGTTTGACAAATCGTTCCAATACCATATCCACCAACGAAAGTTATGCTAAAAAATTAAATTTCGCAAACTATTAAATATTTTAAGAAAGCAAAACAAAAATGAAAATCAAGTAACTGAACTTTAATTTTAAAAAATGACTGGAATCTAAAGATTTTTTACAAAACCAGAATGAAAACTGACGGCAAAACAACAACGAGGTCAATATATAACAAGAGATAGTCCATCAATTTGCAAAGATGAGGCGAAACTGGTCAGTTGAATTACTGACTGAGCAGGAATTGTTTTTAGTAATAAGCAGTAACTAACTTAGCAATAAGCATGACGATCCATCCAGTGAAGAATGCTCCTGCTATCGCAATTAAACCCGAAAAACCACCTAATATGCCTATTCTCGGTCGTTTCGATGGTAAATAATCACTAGAAAATCAAAGTTGACAGGATTAAAGCATTTGAAGGAAAAAAAAAACATAATAAAATCAATTTAAAATTACAAAAAATGTAAAAATAATTTTCGACAAGAACAGTTTAAAATTGAAAAGTTTTTGAAATAATAATGCATGAGATTATAATAGTAATAAATGATGCCAAATTTTTAGCTAAGTTCTAAATTTGTATGAATGCATTAATATCTGTTTATCTTTAGGCATAAAGCATTTGTAATTTACAGTTTTATCTTCTTTCATTAACTAAGTTCAGCTTTATTCGAGTGATTTGTTTTTCGGAACTTGCAACAATTCAATTCACTTCCAAAAAATATGTACTGATAAACAACAATACTTGATGTAATAATATATTTCATTCATTAAATTAAAAAAGTATCACAAGTTTACTTAGCAAATAATTTTGTGGTTCCACAGAATATAACAATAATTGTAGGAACAGCAACGATCAAGGCTGGTAATACAATCAAGATACGAAAAATACTTGTGACTAATAAATCTGTTCCAGACTGAAATTTTTAAAATTCAGCACAATTTGTCATTACAATGTACTATCATTTATCTCAAGCATTGATTTTTTTCATTGAATTTCGATCAGAATTTTGATTCGAAAAATTTGACAGTCTTTGACAGACGTGAAGTAACTAATACAGGTTTAAGATTACTACTGAAAAATCCTGAGCGAACACAGTATTGAAGTAATTTAAAAAAACGAATTCCGTACTAGTATTGGAAGCTTCACGTAAAAAATTATGTTATAAAGTGATTTTAAAATCTCATTTTTTAAAGAATATTAAAATATAGAAACATAATATAATGAACGTCATTATATTATTTTTCTATGTTTACCATTCTATTGTGCCTACTTTTTCATATAGATCAGTGAGATCGATCACGTATTTGTTGGCATTTTTAAGAAAAAAACGAATATAATCAGTGGAATTAGTCATTGTTCGAATAAGAAACATAGTTGTGTTTCGTGCTTGATCTAATAGTGCATCACCTGTTTTCAATACTTCAATCTTAAAATTACTTTTCAAAGTAATGAATAGAATAACAACTTATTTTGTGTTTTAAATAACATTCCCACCATAAAAATGAGGAAACAAATGGTGAGCCTTTCTTTTTAAAATATTAAGAATCGATAATTAGTAATAAATTTAATAATAGTATTGAATCGTCAGTCTCTGTAGCCACGCAAATAAGGTCAGCAACTTTTGTTATTAATATAACTTACTTATAATAGTTATGAACAACTGTCAAACATATTTTCAGTAGACTTGTACTATCTTATCAAAAGGTTAATTACTCTTCATTCCAAACAATATTTTGCAGCAAAAAGTTGTTAAATAAAAATGCAGTAACTAAACTACTTGATTAATAATTTAATTTTATAATTTTATCAAAAATCATTTCCACGTCAATGAGAAAGGACATACCAGTTCTTCGGAATCGAAAAATAAATTATCTAAATTGCTCCACATAGTATTAAATTTTTTTCTCATCTTGTCGTAAGACTAAAACAGATAAGAATTAGTGTTACTTTTGTGAGACTTAAACTGATCTTCAAGTTTCACACAATAAACTGTTTATCAGTTTGAATTTCGTAGGAAAAAAGTTTGAATTCAATGCAAAATAAATACAAAAATATTACACTGGATTAATCATGGAACAAATTCGGTTAAATTGACTTCAAATTAAATAATTTAATTTTTTTTAAAATGGCATCACTTTGAAGTCTTTCGAATTATTCAGAATTATTCTTGAATTAAATCATTATTTTGCAAAGAAAAAGCGAATCTGATTATCAATAAATGCATTCACAAAAAACAAA